TGTCCGAAATGGTGTAGGGTTTCCTGCCCGAGCAGGGGGTTGGACTAGATGACCTCCAAGGTCCCTTCCAACTTTACTACTATTACTATTACTATTATAAACAAATGAAGGATGGATGGGCAGAAAGATAGACAAACAGCAGGCAACCCATGAGCACATTCATTTCCCATTCCCATATTGCTGTTGGCAAACTGTAGGGAAAAAAAAATCTTTCATCACTGATTTTCCATCTCCCATGCCCCCCCAACACAATTTTGCCCCAAGCAATATGCTCTGAAAAAGTTTTCTTACATAAAAGTTCATTAAAATGTTAAAATAAGAACTCTGTGATTGTGTTCTGAAAGCAAATGAAAATTTACTTTTTTCATTGTACACTGGATGTAATAATATACCAGTTAAAGCTTTTACTATTTATTGGCATGAGCAGCAATGATTACATTGGCTACCAACAAATATGGAACACATTTTAGGCAGTATTATTGGCAATATAAATATAAACATCGCTATACAAATCTGCATAATCCAAGCATGATATTTTGCCACAAAAATAATTTTCAGATGATATATCACAGACTAGCAAATGATAATTGAAGCATCAGCTTGAACCTACAATATGGGCTGAAGTCCAGCTGTGTGGTAATGTTCTACCATTTTTACACCAAAGAAATTTCTCCAGGGAGAGAAATTTCTCAGGGCCAGGGCACATCATTAGCAGCAGCAATAAAAAGCTGTTTTCATTTTGCCTAGAATTTTGTGTCATTATTATGCAATTTTTACAGCAGAGGTCCCCAACTGGTTATATGGAGACAGTTTTTTTCCTGGACCGGAGCGGGCGTGGTTTTGTTTGCTGCCTGCATCCTGCGGATGGGGCTTTCCTTGTCTGTGTGGACTGGTTGCTGGCATGCCATGGCCCGATACTGGTCCATGGACTGGAAGTTGGGGACCCCTGTTCTATAGGGTATAAACCTAGTGCCATTCAAAGACAAGACATAAAGATAGGTGAAGCGCTCTTTGAGCCTCATTGTTTGCTTGCAGATCCATCCTTTCTCAACTGAATCACATCAGTGCTAATGAGTGTGGGGTTTGCTCCCTGTTTATATACAATAGCTTGCTTTTCCTTAGCTTTATCAGAGATAAACCTTATTTACATACCATTCAAAACAGATAATAAAAAAGGCTCCAGCAGACAACACCCAGATAAGCAGGGATTAATATCAGACAAAAAAAAATGAAGCACAAAAAAAAAACATTACTGAAGGAACTACCAAGGGGAAAACTCACAGGGCATGCTACTGTATATAAATAAGAAACAAACTCACACTTGCACTGATGATGTCACCTAGTTGGGTAATGAATTGTCTGCAAGCAGACAACCAAGATCAGAGAGCATGAAAGCCCCCACCAGTTTAACCATATTTTCTTTTATAAGAACGTAGATGTTCTCATGAATAAATAGGGGAAACATTAGAGAAAGTTCTATAAAGTGGCCTTTTGTGGTGAGATGGCAAATACCAATCATCACAAGTTAATGAAGTACATCGCAACTTAATAATATTTTGTTGTTGACATATGGCATAATAAACTTGATTTGAACATAAACCATATATCTCTAAGACAAAAGTTTTTACAACAAATCTATTGGTTTAAAAATGAAAACTACACAAAAAATATCGTCATTTTCTTCTGATGTGTTAGTATTCCATGAACTTTAGTGCAAATATCACTTTGCTATGCCATTGTAATTTGTTAAATTAGATTGATAAAAACTTTCCTTAGGAGTCCTTTAGGCCTTGAGAAAGTCATCTTGTTGAATTTACTGAGAACCTCCAGGCCACCAGTTACAAAATTGCTCTTGTAACTCTTCTTGTTTAATGGTCATGTAATGATGTATATTTCTTCACATTACAGAAGCGTTTGAAACTTAATTATGTTGTTATACATCATGGTTAATCCACTGTAGAGTAAAGCATTGCTTAAAGATCAATTTTGAATTATTTAGGCTGGTATTAAGAAGGGTCGTTCTGTTGCATATGAATATTATTTTAAAATTCTTGATAGGCATCTCCTAGAGCAGTTTGTTTTGTACAAAGTAATAATAGATAATTAACTGACAACTGTAATAGAGCCCCAAAGGTGGTTTTCAAAAGGCAACTGGGCTTTCTTTATTTTTTTCTTGAAGATACTTTGCTTCTCATGCAAGAAGCTTCTCCAGATTTGACTGAATGGTGGAAATGGGAGGATTTATATTTCTTGCATTCCAAAGGTGCTTTTTCAAGAGGCAACTGGACTTTCTTGTTTTTCTTTGAAGATGTTTCACTTCTTATCCAAGAAGTTTCTTCATCTCTGATTGGATGATGGGGAATGGAAGGATTTATACTTCTTGCAGACAGCTGGTCATTTGCATTCTTTTAGAGAGTCACTGAGGCCACCTGCAGGTTTATCTGTGTTGGCAGGGTCACCTGAATAGTGCAAATGGGTGTGGAACCTTCTTGGAACTACTGAAAAGACTATGTTGTAGGTTGGAGATAGATGATGTTGTATCCCTCCCCCTCTGTTGAGAGAGAGCTGTTCAATTTTGACATAGATGGGCTCTTTGACCCCTCTTTGAAACCAGCGATCTTCTCTGTCCAAAATGTGGACTTAGCTGTCTTCAAAAGAGTGACCTTTGTCTTTTAAATGCAAATGGACTGCTGAATTTTGTCCTGATGGGTTTGTTCTCCTATGTTGTCACATGCGTTTATGAAGTGGTTGTTTTGTTTCCCCAATGTACAGATCTGCACATGGTAATCTTCTGCTTGTCTGTCCTACACAGTGATTGTCATCTACATCTACAAGATATAGTGTTGTATGGCCCATATTGTAACACCAATGATCAATTACAGAATATTCTCCAATCCTTATGGACTACTGGAAGTTCTGATGATTCACAAAACATTCACCTGAAATATTAAGAGCTAAACAAGAGAGAAAAATCAATACATTTGGCCAATGTATTGTTGCTTATACAGTGCATATGTTACTTGCCTATATAGATTGAAAGATTAGTGAGCTTCAAAATGGGACTTCATAGACAGTTCATCTTTTCTTAAAGATTTCTCCTCATGCTGGTGATGGTGCTAGTCTGATTAATTTTGCATACTATTTGAACCTGAGTTTTTAATAAAAGGAGACACATCATAAAAATAAGATAAGGGATAGAATTTCCTAAAGTAGCTCCTAGTCACATTGCAGAATGTAGAATGCATGAATCCTTTTGAAGTTGCTGGTTTAAATAAGGAACCTTAACACTGAGTTTATGTTTTACTGTAATATTGTAGAACATAAATACTGTCTTGAAATTAAAGGCAGAGCCATATGGTGTTATTTGAATTCTATAAATTAATGGCTTCTACTTACATAGAAATAAATACTTTACAGATTAATTTTACATTGTTTATATACAGTGGCTTATTCTGTATTAAAAACAGAAAACCAAAACAAAATACCAGACTGACAAAGTGTTCCATTATCGAAGTAACAACCCAACCTCCCACAAGAGCTCTGTAAGAATATTATTCAGATGACTACAAACAGACCACCTACACAACATCTTCCAACAAAATGGATACTTATGTAACTTCATCCAAAAATGCCTGACACTCAACACAACAATTCAACCAACAGAAGCTATAAATAGGATAACACTACTAAATATCAAAAACATGTCAGAAACAACCAACAGATTATTAAATCACACACCAGACATCTCCATAGCACACAAACCAACTAAAGTCCTCCAATATCTCAGGGGCTGCCATAAAGAAGAGGGAATTAAGCTATTCTCCAAAGCACCTGAAGGCAGGACAAGAAGCAACGGGTGGAAACTAATCAAGGAGAGAAGCAACCTAGAACTAAGGAGAAACTTCCTGACAGTGAGAACAATTAACCAGTGGAACAGCCTGCCTCCAGAAGCAGTAAATGCTCCAACACTGGAAGGTTTTAAGAAGAGACTGGACAGCCATTTGTCCGAAATGGTGTAGGGTTTCCTGCACGAGCAGGGGGTTGGACTAGATGACCTCCAAGGTCCCTTCCAACTTTACTATTATTATTATTATTATTATTATTATTATTATTATTATTATTATTATTAAAATATCTTAAGTAAACCAAATGACCTAGTAGGACAAGAAGAAAAAATAGTCATCTACAACATACAGTGTAAGGATTTAAACAGCCATTATGTAAGACAAACAGGCAGAAGACTAGCAGAGTGTATTCATGAACACCAACTAGCAGTCAGAAGACATGATGAAAACTCTTGATCTAACAACACATAGATACTGTAGATTCAACCATAATTTCAACTGAGAAACTAGGCATTCTAGATCAAACTAAATCCAAAAGTGCTTGAGAATTTGTGGAAGCTTGACATTCAGACCAATTAGCTCTCAATGGATTCATAAAAATAACCACCATTCAAAAGAAAAAAAAGAAAAGAAAAGAAAAGAAAATCAATCAAGGAATTACCAAGAGAAAGCGTACTCTTACGGTTATTAATAGGGCAAGCCACTGAATATAAACAAAGAGCAAACCTTATACTCACTAACACTGATAATGTTACCTAATTGGATAATAAAACATCTGCAAGAAAACAACCAAGCTCAAGGAGTACCAAGACTCCATAGTTTTACTCTGATCTCTTCTATTGAAATAGTTCTTTATTTTATAAGAACTATATAAATAGTTCTCCTATAGACTAACTTTTAGAATCAGTAAACATTTTGAAAAAAAATCATAATATATCTAAAATTCAATTTCAACATTTTAAAAAACTAAGTATACATTGTTACGTAGTATTAATTTCAAGGCAGACAAATAAACTCTTGTATCAATCAATAATTCTTTATTGGGAAACATGTTTTGTTCTTCAATATTTTGCCCTCATTTTTTTATTTAACTTATTCACGTTTTCAATACCACATTTAATTGATATCTGTAGTGTTGTTATAGTATTTACTGACCAGCAGCTTCTGCTTCAGTCTGGGAATTTATTAACCAGGCTTTCTCCTAATTAGTTCATAGTATTTCATAGATCTGTCTGAAAACAGAAAATAGCTTCTTTTGGTATTGGAAAACTCTTCACTCTTTCTGCCTGTTATCAAACGCGGCCATCAGTTCTGTTGAATGAAATTGTAAAGGGGAAGTAAAAAATAATAATAGACAAAAATACTTTTCCAGACACTCAAACAGGCTGCTTTGCACCATGATGTGAAGCACATACTTTTTCAAAGTCAACATCAGCAATATGTGTAACAGTGTGCACAGTATTTAGAAGAGTAAGTGGGTAATCCAGATTTATTCATGTTCATTATACATAATTAATAATGTATCTAGATGGTGATGAGAGTTGGACACCCCCTCCCCAGCCCAACTAAGAAATAACCTAGGAACACCCCAACTAAACTGGGTCAACAGCAGCCTGAGGCTAAACAGCAAACACTTGACACAAACACAATGAGGAACCAGCTAGCAGCAATCAGGATTAACACACAACAATAAAAGTAATTAACACCTTTTAGGCAAGAAAATGGAACTAACAATAGTCACAAACCAGCAAATCAAGAAAGACAAATTTTAACTCACCAATTAGAAATGGTAAGTTTGTTACCAATCAGAAATGACAAGTTTGGAAACCACAAAAGGGTATAAAAACCCCTGTTTAAAGATCATTCTGTCTAGCTAGCCGGGAACTCGAGCTGAATTGTCACTCAACGCTGATCCTCGAAATAAAACCTCTTTCTGGTAGCTGGCTTCACGATCTATTTCTTCTGCGCTGCACCGTCAAGGGGAATCCCGGCTGGAAGGACCGAACGGGGGAGTTCCTCCCAACAATCTGGCGACCTACGAAGGGACTTCCAGCTCACCCAGCCACCGGACCGGGCCCGGAAGAGTCATCACCCAGCCGGCAGCGGACACTTTGATCCGTGGGGAAGCCTCCTCGGACCCTGCCCGGTCGGCATCGGGTAGTAAAGGGAGTTTTTGAGTCTTACGCTCGAACAGCTACCAGGAAAGAGGGTAAGTGCCACCAAATTTAAATCTATTAGGTTAAAGGGTCTGGGGGAACGAAAGGAAGAATGCATGAGTGTGTGCGTGAGGCATCCTCCTCTTAGAATCAGCTGGAGCTCGCTCCCTCCGTGTGCCCTCTAGCCGCACCCCGACCTGCTGCTAGCTCCAGTGGAGCCGTGACCGGCAGAATTCGGGAAAGCAAGGGGGGGCATCGGAGCGTGAGACCTTCTGGTGAGAGAGGAGGACTGAGCGGGCAGAGAAAGAGAACCCTATTCTGGGTAAGCCAGGACCCCTTCTGCCAGTAAATATTAAAGCAGTAGCCCCGAGCGGAGTGGCCACTCACCTCCGAGACCTCGACTGTATTGGGAAAGAAGTCTCGCAAGGAGACTTCGACTGTGTTAGGAAAGAAGTCTCACAAGGAGACTTCGACTGTGTTAGGAAAGAAGTCTCACAAGGAGACTTCAACTGTTAGGAAAGAAGTCTCACAAGGAGACTTTGACTGTGTAGTGTATAGAAAAAAATAGACTTTGCTTAGGGCTTTGCTGGGAAACCAATTTGGCTAAATAAAGGTACTTAAAAAGGAAAATAAGAAATAGTGATTCTCTCTCTCTATCTCTCTTTCTCTTCTCTATGCAACCACGTGGTATGTTTAAAATGTGCGCCTTCCCTAACTTGAGTTATCTGAAATTTATGGTGGGAATGACTAGGATGTATAAAACTAAGACTTCTGTTCTCTTGTCTTTATCTATATATATGTTTGTCAAAGTCTGTGCGTGAGAGGTAAATATGACTGTTAACTGTTTCAAATCCAAAGAAAAAAGAATTTTAAATTCTACTAGAAATTATGTTTAAAAATAAGCCACAAAAAAGGAAATACCTCACTCTGTTTGTCTGGCCAACAAACAGAGTGAAGAAAAAAAATTGTGTTTGTTTGTTTGTTTTCCTCTTTCTCTGTGTGTACGCTCAAGAACAGCCTTAAGTTACTAGGAGGGATTGTTTTAAGTTTATCAGTTGGAAAAGTTTCACTTGCATTTACTGTATGTGTTTTATCTATCTATCCTTTTCCTGAAAAATGTGTGTCTATCTACAAGAGCATTTTGAAGTTCAAGTCTGATTGTGTGGGGAAATAATTTTCTTAAGTTACTTTTCTTATCCTATCACTTACTGGTGAAACTACTATGAAGCTTTCTGAAACATAAGCATTTCTCAATCTCTAAAATGATGTGGTCTATTTTAGAATAAATGTTCTCCTACCTCTGGAAAGTTGCACACCTTAAAATATTAGGCTTTAAAATTATTTGGAGTTTTCAGCATTCTCAAGCTGCCTAGCATTTTTTTTTTCTCCTCTTCAAGTTGCAAGTTCTTGTCCATAATATGTTGCAAATGTGAAACATTTCATTTTGTTGTTCCCCATTTGTCTATGTTTAATAACTGCAGTATTAATGCCCTTTTCAAACTGCCTGCAAGCTACCCCCCTTCCAATTCTTTTCCTGTCCTTTGTTCTCCATACCTTTTGTCTGCCTCTCCTGGTAGAGTCCACCCAGAAAGGGGGGGAGACCTTGTTCTTGTATCTTTCAGCCCTGAAACCCTCTCCCAAGCCTTTGGAAGCAGAACACACAGACCCAGATGCTGCCTCCATCCATTTGAGCCATGGAATTGAGTTTTGAATCCAGCCATCCACTAAAAAGCCACCATGCAATCTGAGTGGAAAATCTTCCCAAGTCCTACCATTTACCCAGATGCCTATGAGAGCTGCAGAAGGAAGGTGGTGCCATGTGAAGCCTCAGAAGAGAGAATTAGATTGTGGGGGGAGGGTGGAAACTCATTGTAAACTTTTCTTTCTTGCCCCGTTTGTATTGTAACAAGCCAGTTGAATGTATTAATGGAGGGATGGCATTTAGGAATATGTGGCAGAACAAGTGCTGAACACCTTGGACTTCTATCTGGTGGGAGGGAAAATTGATCCAGAATGTTTGTATTGACTATTTTGTAAAAGTAGCTGCATATACATGCACACACACACAGACACCATTCAGAATCACACTTGAGTCTATCCCCTCCATCTACCTTTAGTGAAGTTCCCCAGGCTGATTTTTGCTCTATTGCACCAAAGCTTTGTGGGACCAACTTCCAACAGATACCAAGGGGGAGGGAACTAGGCCCCCTCAGGTGATTTGCAATTCATATGCCCTGACTAAGGAAGCAACAGGAAAAATCCCAAACTTATGCCCTGAATATTTTGCACTGTTGAGCTCAGATTGGGATTCCTAGAACTCATTATGTGCAATTTAAAGAAAATTTAATAGCCTGGCAGTTGGGTATTACAAACCTGGATGCACTGAATTAAGAGCTAAGGCAGGAAACAACCCTTGAAACTGGGCAGCCAGTGGTCATGTACTAAGGAGAACCATGGCTGTGAAGAATTTTGGGGGGTATGCAAACCTGACTGGAAGCTAAAGGTGACATCCAACATTTAAGAGAACTAGCACAAAACATTAGGCACAACCAGTCATCCTGGGACCTTTCCTGGCTCTTTTCATGGTTACCAGACTTCCATTGGTTGAAAATTCTTATTGGTAGTATAATCACAGTCATAATAGGTGGAGCCCTCCTTTGTTGCCTATGCCAATTAATTCCTTTAGGGTTAAAATGCCTAAAGGTCTGCACAACTCCCATCAGAAGCAAGGGATAAAGCAAGAAAACATCTCCCATGATGTGCCAAATTGATCACCACCACCGTATATATGAACCAGTTGGGCTAATCACTGATACTCCAGTGATAGCCCAAAATGGGGGAATTGATGAGAGTTGGACACCCCCTCCCCAGCCCAACTAAGAAATAACCTAGGAACACCCCAACTAAACTGGGTCAACAGCAGCCTGAGGCTAAACAGCAAACACTTGACACAAACACAATGAGGAACCAGCTAGCAGCAATCAGGATTAACACACAACAATAAAAGTAATTAACACCTTTTAGGCAAGAAAAAGGAACTAACAATAGTCACAAACCAGCAAATCAAGAAAGACAAATTTTAACTCACCAATTAGAAATGGTAAGTTTGTTACCAATCAGAAATGACAAGTTTGGAAACCACAAAAGGGTATAAAAACCCCTGTTTAAAGATCATTCTGTCTAGCTAGCCGGGGACTCGAGCTGAATTGTCACTCAACGCTGATCCTCGAAATTAAACCTCTTTCCGGTAGCTGGCTTCACAATCTATTTCTTCTGCGCCGTCAAGGGGAATCCCGGCTGGAAGGACCGAACGGGGGAGTTCCTCCCAACAATGGTAAATTAGTTATAATGATCAGATATGGAAAATGGCTTCGAGTTAACTTTTGAAATATTTTGTTTGTATTATTTATTGGCTTCAAAACCATATTTGTTTGAGGAGGTGCTGATAGAAATGCAAAAGTTTGCCAAAAAAATCTGTGTATGATTTTGTTTGAGAAGCTCCATAGCACAGCGTGAAGTGTGCCCTCATGTGACTTACTTGCAGGTGAGCACATCCACATATCCCAAAAACAACAATCCAATGAAAGACAACACTAAAATAACATTGAACAAGAAAAAAAAAACCTGCTCAGCAAACACATTGCAAACTGCAAAAATCACAGAAGCACATGACAAGCCCCTCCTAACCCAGCCATATTTCCAGATACCATTTGTGGTTCATACTTCAGCAATGCATGCAATGATAACTGCCAGATGTATAAATTAGATTCAGAAGGAGCAGAAGCACCTGAGATCATATAGTGAGCATCCAATAGATAATGGAAAGAGTATGGGATTTCCCAGAAGACATTTTATATTATACAAAGATTTATTGAATGTGTACATCCCAATAAATCATGAACAACCCTTAAAAACAAGTAATTGTTCAAAATAGAAAAAGACAGATGTCATGGTTTTATACATTTGTCCTTATATACCAAATATAAGAAATGCTGGACAAGAAGAAATAGAAATTAAAATTGGTGGGAGAAAGACCAACATTTTCAGATCTTCTGATAGTGCTGATTTAACAAAGGAAACTTTGCTGAAGTTGAAAGACAACACTGTAACAGCAGTTTGCTCCCCAATATTACCTCCCCCCCAAAAGATGATATCATCAGGTAAGTATTTTATCTTAGGATATAAATTCACAAGGAAGGTTGACTGAAACCATGTAATTAAGAGATGTATGCTATTTGGGAAAGACCTTATGACAGATTTGGACAAAATATTCACAGCAAAGATATTACTCTGACAAAAAAAAAGAGAGATTTGTTGTGAAGACCACGGTTTTCCAAATTATAAAATATAGCTGAGAAAACTGAACCATTTGAAAGACTGAATGAAGAAAAAATGATCCCCCTGGATTCTGGTGCTGGAGGAAAACTTAGTGAATACAAGATCATAAGAATATGAATCATAAATACATCCAATCTTTTTAATAGCAGCTGAAGTAAAATAAGAGTACCCACTTGGAGCAACAATGACAAAGTTAAATCTTAACTACTTTGGACACATTATACAATGATAAGAATACTTGAAAGATGACCGTGATCCTTGGAAAAATCAAAGATGATAGGAAGGCCAACAGAAGGCAAATTGGGACCTACTATCACCAGCATGAGTTTACAAGAACTTAAAAAAGCAGTTTCCACAGACAATTATGATAGCAATGAAAATTTGAAAGTGGCTGAATAACTGAACAAGAAAGTTGTCATTCAGATTTATACAACCAAGATGTGGTAGCCTAGTTTTTGGAACAAGCAAGAATATTCCTTGATAATCTTACTGAACTGATATGGGGAAAGCAAAGATCTGGACAAAGAACGGAGCAGATAAATGTAAAGATTTTTATGTCCAGTAGTGTCTGACTCTAGGGCACAGTGCTCATCTCTATTTCTTGACCAAGGGAGCCAGTGTTGTCTGAAGACATTTCCGTGTCATGTGGCCAGCATGGCTATATGCCAAAAGCACCCAGAAGACTGTTACCTTCCCATCAAAGTGGTACCTATTTATCTACTCATATTTGTATGCTTTCAAACTGCTAGGTGGGCAGAAATTGGGGCAAGGAATGGGAGCTGACCCCATTGCAAGTGCTTGGGTCTCAAACCCAGGCTGTCAGTTTTCTAGCTGATAAGGCCAATGGCTTCAACTGCTGACCCATTGCACCTCCAAGGACAGGGCAGTTCCAATGCAATAGGACAAAATCTGGTTTTGTAAGTAATTAGTGGCTAGTTTCAGACAGTATAGTTGCTTACCAGTGTAGGACTAGATGTTCCACTCAAAAGCTTAGCCACTGCACTCTGCATCAGCTGCAGCTACCAAGCATTCTAAACAGAATCAAGTAAGAGATATTCAAATAAGCTTTTGAGGAATAATAATGTCTGGTGTTGAACAGAATCAGTCATTGTGCAGTGGTGGGATTCAGATATGTGAACAATCGGTTCTCTGTGTGGATGCCACTTGCGGAAGTCCTGGGCAACCAAAAATTAGCTACTGGTCCTGCCGAAGTGGTGCGAACTGGCTGAATCCCACCACTGATTTGTGTCATTTTCTTCATCAAAATAGGGGAATACATACAGATTGATCCTTAAGTATATTTAAAAAAGGACTTTATCAAAAAAAACTTAAGGTATTACTTGAGAACCTAGTTTTTCTCTACCCACCACTAGGTTGGTAGTATGGAAGACAGTTCTGGGCTAGAGACACTTTTGGTCAAATTTAGCAGTATTGATTTTTATGTCTCCTGTAGTTCAGAACATAAAAGGAAAGGTCAAACTCTCTGTCTCTCTTCTTTTTAACATACATTCCTAAACTCATTTAGTGAGTCTGTAAGGAATATAGGCTTCCCTGAGAATAATTAACTTGGGCTTGAAATTGAGAGTGTGGAGTATAATGAACCACTAATCTCTCTTCTCCTAAAATGGTCCCTTTGAGCCTGAGAAATTAGGTGTCTTGTTCTTCAAACCAGTATCAAATGAATCAACGAGCATCAAATTTGTCATCTCACCTCAAGCCAATAGGCATCGTTTATTTAATACAAACCATGGAAGAACCTAATGAACACATGCAGAAATAGGAACAGATGTCTTTAAAGGTTTCTTTCAGATCAAGTTTTCTTCTTCCTTCATAATTAGTTTTCCCCTCTCCTGCAATTCAATGTTAGATTTCACTGAGCAATATTATTTGGTGGGCAGGACCACAAAGTTTATTTTTTGAGTAGATTAAGTGTGGGGGGAGTAATCATAAAAATCAACTAAATGGAATATACAAAATATGTACCACAAGGGCAATAGAGTCGCTTCAAAATGAGATGAGCAGCAAATAAATGTAATAAATAAATAAATAAACATTATAAATAAATACATTCTCTGCATTTTCTTTTAAAAAACCAAGGCAGCCATAATAATGTTTTCAATGTAACAATTTCTTGGACCAAGGCCATTTAAATAAGTTAAATAAATAAATAAGAAAATCTTCTTACTTTAGAGAAAAGCTGTCATGTGCAGGAAAACCAGAAAGTCCAGGCAGTTCAAATGGGTATAAAGATTTAGTGCTCTAAATTAAGCGCTCTATAAGAATCTGAACTTCTAACAGTCAAAGCAAATTGGTAGTAGATAAGAGTCAATGGAATTCATAGTGGGCTGGATTTAGATATCTTGTGGGCACAAAGGGACGCGATACTTATGATACATTTGACTCCTCCCTCTGGCTCAGCCTGGTCATCTCTTACATCAGCTTTTCTATTCTGAGCCTTTGTATTCTAGGTCTCAGGATTCCTAGTCCAAACGCTGTATGAATTGCCATTTTATGAAATAAATTCTCAATAATCCCATTTTGTCTCTAAAACTGGCCAATTTCCATGCGAATAGAAAGAGTCTTGAAACCCTCTCTCAATCAGGGGTTAGAGCTCAGTTAGCAAAACATTCCTGATTTAGACAAACACTACCTCTCTGAAACTGCTTTCTGCATTTCAAGGAAAGTCTTCATTCCCAATAAACAGGAACTTGCCTTGAAATACAAACAAAATATTCAAGGGAATAGAATTTTTTACAGGACCAGAGTGAGAAACATTTAAATTTGCTTTTCTCATAGTTGTTTTCAATGATTGTCAAGAATTCATGGATCTGCTATTTAAGTCACAAAAGCATGTACACTTTGTGCTTGCATTTTTATTAGGTGGCACATTTGCAAAAATGAAATAACAAGACTTGCTGAAATCAGATCTGTATGTACATTAGCTCAAACTGACTGTTTACCTCAAAACCAGAATGCTGTGAATCAAGATATAAAAATAAATTTGGTGAACAATAAGTGGCTTTATTGCTAGAACTCAGAGCAAGGTGGCCATCTATTTTTCCCACCTTAAGATGAGCTCAACTGTGCATCAGGTCCTCATTTCCTGGTCTATTCATTAGGCTAAGGTATACTTTTAGCTGAAATAAAGGATGTCAATCCATAAGCAAAATTAAAAATGCAATTAACATTAAAAGAAATAATAATTACTTTTTAAGCAAGGCCTTGTGCACTGTTAATATTATTTAAAGAGATTTTGTTTCTAGTCAAATTGAAAATAATAAAAAATATGGAAGTATTAGCATTACCTTCATAGATATGGTGAATGTCCCATTGAACAGAAGATTGGTCCAAGTTGCTTGGTGACTGAAGAAAAGGTAAGATGAAAAAGCCTCCCTTCATCTGTTCTTGGACAAAACTATTCATCTCTAATGCTGCAGATTCCCGTATCCTTAAACTGGAAAAGCATTTATATTATGTTGTGTTGTATCATGTATCATGTATCATGTATCATGTCATGATATGATATATCATATCATATCATATCATATATATCATATTCCACCCATTTTGCTGTCCAAAGTGACTCTGGGGGGGCTTACAAAATAATAAAAATAGCAATATAAAACAAATATAAATATTGGTATAAGAAGAATCACGATTACAGAGGATTAAATATACATTAAAGAAACCACAGGCTCAAGCCAAAAGGAGGTGGAGACAGAGTAGAATTTTTGAATCATACCTTGATTGTTAGGGGGAGTTATTCCTACCAGGTTTCAGTTTCCTGGATCTTTTT